CCTTTCACTTGAGGACTTAAAGGGAGGTAATGTCTCCTTTGAAAATGGGAAGAAAGATGAGATTATTGGGGTTGGAAAGGTAGGTAAGACAGACTCTCACTCCATTGAGAATGTCTATTTGCTAGATAGCTTGAAATACAGCCTGATCAGTGTGTCACAACTGTATAACAGAGGTAACCTTGTAGCATTCACCTCTACTAAATGCTTTGTGATTAACCTTACCACTGATAAGATTGTTTTGCGGGGAAAAAGAGTTAATAATATTTACATTGTAGATTTATCTACTCTTTTAGAAAATGAACTCACCTGCCTAAGTGTGTTGGATAATGATCCCCTCCTGTGGCACAAAAGACTTGGTCATGCTAGTCTAATCAGCTAAACAAATTAGTCTCTAAGGACTTGGTGATAGAGTTACCTAACATCAAGTTCAAGGAAGACAAAATTTGTGAGGTCTATGCAAGGGGGAAGCAGGTACGATCATCCTTCAAAAGCAAGAAAATGGTAAGCACAACCAGGACGTTGGAACTGGTCCATATAGATCTCTGTGGTCCAATGAGAACCATGAGCAGAGGTGGAAAGAAATATGTAATGGTACTTGTTGATGATTATTCTAGATTTACCTGGGTACTATTTTTAACATCTAAAGATGAAGCATTTGACATGTTTGTTGCTTTTGTAAGAAAAACTCAGAAACAACTAGGTAATCAACTTGCATCCATTAGTTCTGATCATGGAACTGAATTTGAAAATGCTAAGTTTGCTAAATTCTGTGATGAGCATGGTATAGATCATAACTTCTCAGCCCCTAAGACTCCTCAACAAAATGGAGTAGTTGAAAGAAAGAACGGGACTCTTGAAGACATGGCTAGGAATATGCTTCTTTCTAGTAAACTGCCCCACAGCTTCTGGGCAGAGGCTGTAAACACTGCATGTTACATTATCAATAGATGCATGACTAGACCTCTTGTAGAGAAGACTTCCTATGAGTTACTTAAAGGGAGAAAACCAAATATATCCCATCTTAGGGCATTTGGATACAAGTGTTTTGTGCACAATAATGGAAAAGACTCCCTAGGTAAGTTTGATCCCAGAAGTGATGAGGGAGTATTCTTGGGATATTCTTCACATAACAAAGCATATAAAGTGTTCAATAAAAAAACTTTGTGTGTAGCAAAAAGTGTGTATGTAGTGTTTGATGAAACTAACGTTCTTTCTGAGAGAAAGGAACATGAAGATGAAGCCATTGGATTGGTAAAGGATTTGACTGAAGTCTCAGCACAAGTTAAAGTGGCACCAAGAGAAGGAACAGGTGATAGAACATGTCCTTCCATTCAGGGCAACCTGACAGGGGGAACTGATCAAAGAGGAATTGAAAAAAAAAACCCTAAAAAAACCTGTTCATGACCATGTTCCTCAGCAACAAAACATAGGAGAAACATCTAGCAGACATCAGTTGGTTGTGAAACCTCACAAGTATCAAAGTTCTCATCCTATTGAGAACATAATCACCGATCCAACATCAGGAGTCAAAACTAGATCACAATTAAAGAATTTGTGTGCTTTTGATGCTTTCTTATCTCTTATTGAACCTAAAAATGTTGTTGTGGCTTTGCAGGCAGATTGGGTGAATGCAATGCAATATGAACTCAATCAGTTCGAGAGAAGTTAAGTTTGGCATCTAGTTCTAAGACCCAAGGACAGATCAGTTATCGGTACAAAATGGGTCTTCAGAAACAAACTTGATGAAGATGGAACAGTTACAAGAATTAAGGCAAGACTTGTGGTCCAAGGTTTACGCCAAGAGGAGGGTATAGATTATGATGAGACTTTTGCTCCAGTTGCAAGACTAGAGGAAATAAGATTTCTCATAGCCTTTACTGCACACATAGAATTCACTCTCCATCAGATGGATGTCAAAAGTGCCTTCCTAAATGGCTACCTGAAAGAAGAAGTGTTTGTGAAACAACCTCCAGGGTTTGAGAGCAAGGAATGTCCTGAGCATGTGTACAAATTAGACAATGCTCTCTATGGACTCAAGCAGGCTCCTCGAGCTTGGTATGAACGACTGTCCAAATTTTTGCTTGAACATGGCTACAAAAGAGGTAAAATTGATAGTACCCTATTCTTAAGGGAAAAAGGTAAGGATCTCCTTGTGGTACAAATATATGTTGATGACATAATCTTTGGGGCCACCACCGATAAACTAAGTAAGGATTTTGCCAAATTAATAGGGAGTGAGTTTGAAATGAGTATGATGGGTGAGCTTAACTTTTTCTTAGGCTTACAGATCAAACAAAGCCCAAATGGAACCATGATATAAGTTATAATATAAGTTCTCTATAATATATGAGAGCTTAACTTTCTCATGCTATGTTATAATATAAGTTCTCTATAACTACACGTTGCTATAACAATCAAATTTTTTTTAACAAACAAGACTATTATAGAGAGGTTTAAGTGTAGAAAGAAGATTATTTATAAAACAACTGATATGTTTACCTCGAAAAATATGAGTAACAATTAAATATGATTTGTGGTTTTAAAGATATGTGATTTATTCCAATACTAGTGAATATACAAGTAATAGTAGGTAAGTAAGAAGAATTGATGAACCAAACCAGTGTTGTTAGAGTAATAAGGACCTCGAGCTCGGTTATCTCGAGAGCCTCGAGGTGAATTAAGAGCAATAAAGTATGAACAATAAAGTAAAAATAATAAAGCTGAAGAACAGTTATGGAGCACAGTAAACGAGAAAAATATAGTAGAATATTCTATTGCAGTGAATGAGATGATCTTTACAAATGATTGGGGTCCCTTTATCTAGGAGGGGAAAACCCTAATATGGTACATTTCCAACTATGGTAAAGAATTATATTGGTACAGTTGTATAACAACCTAGTACGGACTTGTACTATTTCGTACAAATCTTATCCCATAATTTATGCCCTGATCCACGTGTCCTTGAGAAATTCTTGCTCTTTCTTGAGTGTCATCGAAATTGTACTGTCCTCGAGGGAAATCATGACGGGTCTCCGATTTTCTTCTCGAGGTGCGCACATCCAGGCCAGGCTCGATTCTTACTTCAAGTTTCCCGAACTTGAGCTCGGGATATGATCAAGTCTTCGAAATCGAGCTCTCCGATTTCGACCATATACAGATAGTCCCCGCGTTTCTTAGAGTAAGATGATAAGAAACGATTTGAACCTCGACTTTCTCGAACCTCTTATGATGATGTCATCCCCGTGATGCAAGCGTTCGAAGTGACTGAAACGTCCTGTCGGTCCACTTCCCCAAAAATATTGAATGCATGCCAGTATTGGTCGGCCACTAGTGCCACCGAACCGTCGTTGCCCTTCTATAAATATGAGGCGATTCCTCTAAGTAAATAACTTTACTCTTTCTTCACCCCTTTCCCATCTTCATCTCTTTCTCTAATCACCCATTTCCTCCGCCTCTTTAAGCACCGAAAAAAGCCAAGCTCTTGCCGGAAACACCGCATCCCTGCGCAACCCGTATTCTTTATCTTATAGCCATGACCAAAACTTCCAAAACAGTCCCTAAAAAGGACAAAGCATCGTCTTCTTCTGCCTCCCAGCCGGCCGAATCGGTGGTGCCGCCAATGCTTGAGGAAATCACCCCCGGTCCTTGCATTATTAAGAAGGGCTTTAGTATTGAGAATCCTCCTGACGTCCCAGGCCGATATGAGTATGCATCTTGTTATATTAGCCTGATAACGAAGAAGCTTATCAAGGATGTAAAGAAGGATTGTGGCTGGGGAGATGAGGTTGAGGTTTAGATCCCGAGCCCCAATGAAAGCATTACTACCCACGTGAAAGGGTTTTTAAGTGTTTACACTTACTCCTTCATACTGAGTCCTCTCGATCCGGTGGTGATCGACTTCTGCAAGACATACGAAGTCACCCTCGGTCAGATTCACCCCTCTTTTTGGCGTATCGTGATCATGCTACGGTGCTTTTTCGAAAGGCCAAGGGATTGGAATTCACCCTCAGCCACCTGATTCGACTGTATCGGCCCCAGTTATTTCGAGGGTTTATTAAGCTGCAGCGTCGAACAACCAAAGCCTTTTTGCCAGTACTGATGAAACTAAAGATCGGGGTTGGATGAGCCGATTTGTTAGAGTAAGAACTTCAAACGTCATCCCCGGGGATAAAATGTCATTCCCGGAGAGGTGGAACTTTAATCGTAAGTGTAGTTTGTATTCCCAGTATCTATTCATATTCTGCTTCCATATTTCATAACGCTTTTATCCTTCTTTTGGCAGCCAATGCTTGGGCGCCCCCAGCGGTGCCCACCTCGAGGATTGGGTCCGAAAGTTATCTACCATTTCTTCCTACGACGAGCGCAAGCGGTGTGAATTATCGAAGGTTTTGTGGGAGGCCAAGAACCATGGTAAGTGCCTTTCAACAGTTTCAAACACTTTTCATACATTGGCGGCGTTAACTTACTCATGCTTACCTGTGCAGGCCTTGGTGATGCATCCGATATGAGGCCGACTCCGTCCGGGGAAAAGACCAAGCCTTCAAATTCGAAGTCTGAGAAGGACAACAAAAGGAAAAAGGTCTCGAAGCCCAAAGACCCTCAAGACAAGAAAACCCTCGCTCGAAGGTTGATAGTGTTTGTTGGCCCAAGAACAGGTGAAGTTTTGAAGAATGACAAAAAGAACTCAATCATGGACCAGGTCCATCTTGTGAACACTACTACAAAAAAGGTCTTTGGCGGCAATTATTTAGCGACAATTAAGTAATTGCCACTAATGAATTATTTAAGCTAAAATATTAGCGGCACATGACCATTAGCCAGTAAAAGATATATTTTTAGCGACAATAAAAAACAATTGCCACTAAAAATCCCTAATTGAATTATATTTTTATTATTTTAACTTTCCCTCCATATAATCTTTCCCTCCAATTTTTTGGGACAATAAATTACATTCCCTCCAATTAGAAAACCCTACAATTAAAAAAAAAGGAAAAACCAAACCCTATAATTAGAATGATACAGAAGACGCCTGTAATTAGAACGATACAGAACGACGGAAAACCTGCGCGTTAACAGCATCGCTGCAAAAGCCTCCGCCCTGCCACGGTCTCTGGCCATCCCAGGTCGTTCTCGATCGAGTTATATATAATTTTGGGTTGATGCTGCTCGATTATTATCAGTCTTCTCTGTCAATCTTCTCCCTCTCATTCGTCTTCAACTTCTGTTTCGTGTAGGTTTCAAGAATTATTGCAGAAAGCCTTCGTCTCCTTCAATTTCTGCTCTTAATCGGCAAAAGTTTTTGCTTACCAGGTTCCAATTTTGATTTTTGATATCCAACTACGGCTCTTTGGGATTTGTGAAAGTATAGTTTTTTCTGTGTTTACGAAGTCGTTTGTGATATCTGATTGTTGTTAGATTGATAGTCGATTGATTGAATTGATTCCTCCTCTGTTACTCTCTTGTTTTTGAATTGGTTCCTCTGTTTTCAAGGCACTGTTATTTTTGTGATTTTTCAGAAATTTTCTAAGTGTCAGTTGATGCATATTGATGTTTTAATTGAATGCCGGTAGTCGAGATATGAATTCAACCATGTTCAAACTTTTTGCCCGAGTATTATATATANTCCGGGGACATAACCGTCATCAAAATATCTAATGCACTCTAGGAATATCATAGTGGTATTAAATACTTCCCGAATACCTGCCCAATCTTTATACCTTTTTTGTCCTATGTTGCTGGATCTGACCTTGTGAAACAAACTCATGTTAGTTGCAAGTTGTGCATAGGTTTCATTTGGATGTACTACACAAATGTTAACCATCTTGATCTTGCATGAACTTGTTTTCAATTTCTACCTTTCAGTGATTAAGGATCATTACTGCTCAAAAATAATAAATAGATAAGAGTAAGAGAGAAAGAGTATACCTATAACCTTAGAGCTTGACCAGTAGGATTCTTGTATTTAAGTTGTGAACTAGTAGCCATGTATAAGCACAATAACTTGACGGTCATCAGTATTTGACACTCTTTCGTTCCTTTCAGAAAAAAGATAAATGAAAAAAGAACATTCTTGCACGGAAGCTAGTACGTATTACAGACATTGTTTGAGCAAAGGTTGAGGGAAAAGAAATTTTGGCATTAGGCATTCTTGTGCAAACAATCTTTGGGTATTGGTGATCTCCTTGGGAACAGCATAGTGACGGGTAATTCAGAATCAGAATAGGTCCAGTCTAGGGGATAAATCAATAGGAAATGTTATTTGCTTCGTAAGAATAAGAATTCACTTCAATGAAATGAAAGAGTTTCATGGGAATTGTCATGTATCTGCATTGCCTGCAATTTAATATCTTTTTATCTGTGCCTCCGCTTTGACGAGAATTGATTTTTTGATTCTGCTATCGAAGCTTGGTTCTTATTTTTCATCCTTTTCGTAATAACAGTTGCACACTGCCAAATGCAAGCTTGAGACATTCTACTTTATGATCTTATTTTTGATACTAGAACTAAGATGTTTTGTGTTCATGTTGAAGGTTCAGGAGACGGAAACTTGCATGCATGGAACATCAACACACTAAATAAGGTAATCTCTCCCCCGTGTGTGTTAGGCCTGTACCAGCTGTTATTTGTGGATAAAATTGACAAATAGTTACTTTTTTGCCCGGTAAGTAAAAAATACCACTCTCATGGAGTATTAAATTCCACGGACGAAACTCCATAAATTCCATGACACTGGATAATTTTCAATTACAAGGCTGAAAAGTGGTTGGCCCGCACTGTTACTACTTATTTGATTCTGTATCATTGATACTTCTGTTTGAGTGGCCATTAGTCCATCAAATATACCTGTGGGTTGTAACAAACTGCTCTGTTGACTAGTTGAGATAACACAAACTTAACACAAGCTTAAAGCTAGCGAGATCTCAACAGAACATGATCCAAAACCTTTCCAAACTAAAAAATAAAATTCATCAAGAAGAGGAAGCAGCATCAGTAGTAGTAGGAGGTAGGAGATTTCTTGCTGGTGGGAAGAATGCAACAGCACCTCTATCTGGACTCGAAAACTTCCTGTATATTGCTTTCAGCTTACTTTCTGCAGCACCCAAGTGATAGCTAACCAATTGCTTTGCACATTCCCTGTTACACAAAAAGCTAAGTCAATGAGACTATTATGAAAACTAACTAAAACTAAAACGAGTTTTTGAGGAAAACTACATCAACTGATCTTCTGAGTAGCCACTATGGTGCTGCAGAGTTTGAGTCCATAATGGAGTTTTGTTGAGAGTGCTACGGGCAGCATAAACGGACGATGCTGCTAGCATTGATGGGCAGTATGATATTGTGGTCTTGTAGTTCATAAGACCAAGTTCAGCAAAAAAGAATGTCATGTTCTCCATCTAAAACAAGCAACAAAAATATTATTAGCCAAGTTGAGGTAAAACAAGAATTCGTGTCAAAACAGTATGTATATAATCTTGTATGTCATGTGTATATTTTTATGTATTATATATATACTTATACTTAATATACGAAACATATAGATTTGCGGCTATTATTATGGAGGGTGGGGCCCAATAAGGTAATTATCCCAAACAAGAATTCATGTCGAAAGATGGAACCAGAAAGATTAGTATAGTACCTCCTGATTATTAGATGGTGTTGCAGCTTTAATGTATCTAACCAGAAAAACATATGGTGTTGGAACAGTCAAATACCATTCCAATTTCCCAAGAATAGCTTTCTCCATCTGAAGTATTTGCTCTCTGGCATATGCATTTTCTGATATATGAATGAAATCATTCACCTGCAGAGATCAAGAACATATCTAAGTTTCCATCTACACACGACAAACTGAATAGTATACTGAAATGTGTATAATATACTACCTCTGGTGCCCAAATCTCTTCATACTTGCAAGCAATTAGCATTGAGCTAATGCCAACTAACTAAAGTTCCTTCCTTGGAATCGTCTTCAGCGAGAGGAATCGGTCCAGTATGTTAATTGGAGTCCCCAGTCCTTCCCTTGATTTCTTGCCCGAAAGGGTCAAAGTCCTAAGTTGTAGCAGCGGGTTGCTCCTTTGTCAGGGGTGGGACAGTTATTATGTTTGCAATCCTGCAACCCAAGACTGGAAAATGCTCCCTCCTCCTCAATATTACCATGGATCTGATCCAGCAGTTGTTCTTGCATTTGATATTCAGTGTAATATTGAATCATTTTATCAAGTTATCGTTGCTGTCCCTCTTCTTGGTAATCCAGTTGTCTGCTTTGAGATTTACTCTTCTGAATCAAAATCTTGGAGTTGCTCTTCTTCAGACTGTCTTGAGTTGGAAAATAGCACAAGTCCTCTAATCTTTGATACCTGAACTATGTTTGCTTAGTCTTCTTATTTTTGGAAGTGTTCACCAGTTTTTGTTCCTTGACAGAGTGAGTAGTAACACGAGACAATTGTTTTTCCAGTTATTTAATAGCAAGTAATTTGCAGTTATTCATTCGAAGACGTCAACACTATCTGGAATAGCTACTCTTCTTTTGACACAATTATTTTATAATTTCAGGTCATACCGTCTGATGTTGGATAATTTAGCGGGTGAAAGATTTCAAAATGATAAAAAGTTGCGGAAATCATTTGAAGACCATCATTTGGATTAGTTATATAATGACATTAGCTATTTAGTCTAAATTATATATTTTTATGTTTTAAGTTAATGTGATATTAATGTTTTTGATTAGTACTTCCTTTTGTTTGTTAAGATTAATGAGATACATTATGTTTTTTTAATTAATATTAATATATTTTATTATTTGAGTCATATTATGTACGAATGTAGTAACTATCATTAATTGTGGCTAAACTATTTATAATTGATGTAAAACAAAATGTCGTTAAAGGTATTGACTTTTAGCGGCAATTTAGTTAAACATATTAGCCATTAGAATGGAAGCTAAAAGGGCAAACTAAGATGTTTTCAGAAGGGATACTATGACCATTTTAATTGCCACAAAATAATTGCCATTAAAGATGCGAACTTTTAGTGACAATTATTTTTAATTTGGCGCCTATAAAAAATAGATATTAAAGAAGTATAATTAGCCGTTTGAATTGGATTTAGTAGCCATTATAATTGTCACAAACAATTGCTTTAGCGGCAATTATTTTGAATGTAGCGGCTATAATAATGGACGCTAAAGAAGTATAATTAGCCATTTTGGATTGGATTTAGTAGTCATTATAATTGCCGCAAATAATTGCCGTTAAAGATAATAACTTTTAGCGGCAATAAAACATACTGTTTACTAGCTTTTGCGAGAATAGCCGCTAAAGGCTTTGCCGAGCCCAGTTTCAGCGGCAAAAGGCTAATGGCCAGTAAAAGATATAACGGCTATTATTATTGCCGCTAAAGCCATTTTGTATTGCCGCTAAAGGTCTTATTTGTTGTAGTGCAAACACAGTCATGATCAACCTATACATGTGAGATGCACGTAAAGAAGATAAGTCCTACTGATCAAGCAACAATATCTCCTTATCTAATAGAAAATGTTGCATATTGGATAAGGGGAGAAAGTCTCTTTATATGAAGAGAACACAATCTAGGATGAAGATAGTGTTAGAGTTTGAGATCATCATGAACTCTTCTACGATAGGAGAGCAGCAATTGAGTTCTAATCAAACTCTCATTACTAACCTATTAAATGTCAGTGTTGTTCTCTTTTACAGGTAATGCACATATGCATAAGTTAACTAAATTGAGAGCAAAAGAGCAAGGCGATTTTGCAAGCAATTTATATGGGATTTGAGTGTACACTCCTGAAGTTGCTTAAACGTGTCTATCTTTTATTCTAGTTCAATTGTAGAATGTGGTTTAATTTTGTACCTTTCAGCTTTCATAGAAGCAATTGTATTAGGTACCTAGAGTGTTCAAGTTATAGCTAACTTGAAGTTGTCGCAACAGTTGAGGTTGTGTACCACAACGGGATTAGAGTTAATCTTTATGTCTACAAAGAGTTTTTGTAAATGCTGTTTTGGCTCAGTGATTTTAGTGAAAGTTTGGAAAAATCCTACTGAGTAGTAGGTCGTTGTTTTTTCACCTTTTGAGCCAAGTGTTTTCCACGTAAAAATCTCCGTGTTCTTTATTTTCTGTATTTATTATTCCGCAAACAGTAGTAGTTGGAACACCTAGAAGAACTAGGTTCTTCTATAGAATAGTTAAGCAAAAATTGGGTACCACACAAATAACCATCCCCCTTGTGTGGTATTGACGCTTAAAATATCAATTGGTATCAGAGCGGGTTATCCTTGAAGAGGCTAACACCTTAACAAAAGATCAAAATGAGTTCACCACCTGGGAACTGGGAAGGGCAATCCACTGCTAGGCCTCCACTCTTTAATGGTCAGTACTACTCTTGGTAGAAGAACAGAATGAGAGATCACATCATAGGAGAAGACTATGAACTCTGGGACATAGTCACAGATGGTCCTCTAGCAACTACAAAGAAGAATGTTGAAGGAGAGGATGTGCCAAAGACAAGAGCTGACTGCACTGCTGAAGATTTGAAGAAATGGGAGAAGAACGCTAAGGCCAAGAAATGGCTTGTGAGTGGACTGGGTCCAGACGAGTACAACAGGATTCAAAGCTGTACTATTACAAAGAAAATATGGAACACTTTACAAGTGACTCATGAAGGAACTCTTCAAGTAAAGAGATCAAGAGGAACACTGCTATATTCTCAATATGAGAATTTCAGTATGAAGGAAAGAGAATCTATCCATGAGATGTACACAAGGTTCACAACACTAACAAATGAACTTAAATCTCTTGGGAGAATTATCCTTGAAGAAGACAAGGTTGAGAAAATCTTGGCAAGGGTTTTACTAGTGAGTTGGGAAAGCAAAATCACTGCTATTTAGGAATCAAAGAATATTGCTACCCTCAAGCTGGATGAACTGATTGGAAACCTCCTTGCCTATGAACTGAGAAGGCAAACCATGAAAATGGACTCACCCAAGAAGGAAAGAAGTCTGGCTCTCAGAATAGCTGAAGGTTCAGATCTGGAGGATGAAGAAATGGCCATGATCACAAGAGATTTCAAAAAGTACCTGATGAGAGGAAAGGGTTCTTCAAGAGGTACAACCTTCAACAAACCAAGGGTTCCTGAGAAACAGACCAACGGGGGTTGCTACAAATGTGATAAGACCGACCACATGATCAAGAACTGTCATCAATGGGAAATTGAGTGGAAGAAGGAAAGGGCAGAACGAAGGACAGGAAGAAGGAACATGTTCAACCAAAAAGGAACAAAGGATCAACAAAGGCTATGGTTGCTGCTTGGAGAGAAACATCATATGAGGACTCAGAAGATGAAGCTGGAGATGAACAAGCACTTATGGCCATCGGAGAATCAGATGATGAACAAGAGGTATGTATCTTTCATCTCAAAGACAAGATTAAATTCATGTCTAAAGAAAGGTTGTCTGAGCTATTGTTAGACTTCATTGATGAGTTTGAGATAATTAACAGTGAGAAGGAAGATCTGTCTAGGGAATGTGTGATCCTAAAAGCCATGTGCAAAAATCTAGAGTCTAGGGCTAATGAGAGTGATAGTAAAAATGCTGAGTTGAAGAACCAGGTTCTTGAACTTGACACCAGTATCCTAGAACTTAGGTCTGAGAACTTAAAACTGAAACTAGGAACAGGTAGGAAGAAATCTGACCACACACATCTCACCCTAGAAGAGAACTTAGAAAAAATGAAGGATGAGTAGATAAAAGTCTTAAAAGAAGATCTAGAGAAGGTAAAACATGAACTAGACAGAAATTGCAAATGGAACATGGCTTTTGATGCACTTTCCTAGCTACAAAAATATCACAGTAGTAACAAAAAAGGACTTGGTTATGGGACTCAAACACCTAAGTGGGATCCTAAAAGCAAGTACCCCACTCTCCCTGAGAACAAAATCTGCACACCCTGTGGCAAGACTGGCCATTACAAAAATGAATGTAATGCAAAAGAAAAGGCCAGTCAAAAGAACAAAGTTTTTGTTCAAGAGAAAAATAGGCTGCCAGGGTGGGCTAAAAGGAATCTGATTTATCCCTTTGCCTATAGAAAGGGACCCAAACTAGTTTGGGTTCCTAACACTAACCCTTGATTTCTTTTTGCAGGTCCAAGTGAAGGGAAGTAGCCAAATATGGTACATGAATAGTGGCTACTCAAAACATATGACTGGAAGTAAGAACCAGTTCCTTTCACTTGAGGACTTAAAGGGAGGTAATGTCTCCTTTGAAAATGGGAAGAAAGGTGAGATTATTGGGGTTGTAAAGGTAGGTAAGACAGGATCTCACTCCATTGAGAATGTCTACTTGATAAGTGGCTTGAAATACAGCCTGATCAGTGTGTCACAACTGCATGACAGAGGTAACCTTGTAGCATTCACCTCTACTAAATGCTTTGTGATTAACCTTACCACTGATAAGATTGTTTTGCGGGGAAAAAGAGTTAATAATATTTACATTGTAGATTTATCTACACTTTCAGAAAATGAACTCACCTGCCTAAGTGTGTTGGATAATGATCCCCTCCTGACTCCTGTGGCACAAAAGACTTGGTCATGCTAGTATGAATTAGCTAAACAAATTAGTCTCTAATGACTTGGTGATAGGGTTACCTAACATCAAGTTCAAGGAAGACAAAGTTTGTGAGGCTTGTGCAAGGGGGAAGCAGGTAAGATCATCCTTCAAAAGCAAGAAAATGGTAAGCAAAACCAAGACGTTGGAACTGGTCCATATGGATTTTTGTGGTCCAATGAGAACCATGAGCAGAGGTGGAAAGAAATATGTAATGGTACTTGTTGATGATTATTCTAGATTTGTCTGGGTACTATTTTTAACATCTAAAGATGAAGCATTTGACATGTTTGCTGCTTTTGTTAGGAAAACTCAGAAACAACTAGGTAATCAACTTGACAGGGGGAACTGATCAAAGAGGAATTGAAACAAATCCCCTAAAAGAACCTGTTCATGACCTTGTTCCTCAGCATCAGAACATGGGAGAAACATCTAGCAGACATCAGTTAGTTGTGAAATCTCACAAGTATCAAAGTTCTCATCCTATTGAGAACATAATCACTGATCCAACATCTGGAGTCAAAACTAGATCACAATTAAAGAATTTGTGTGCTTTTGATGCTTTCTTATCTCTTATTAAACCTAAAAATGTTGTTGAGGATTTGCAGGATGCAGATTAGGTGAATGCAATGCAAGATGAACTCAATCAGTTTGAGAGAAGTCAAGTTTGGCATCTAGTTTCAAGACCCAAGGACAGATCAGTTATCGGTCAAAATGGGTCTTCAGTAACAAACTTGATGAAGATGGAACAGTTGCAAGAAACAAGTCAAGACTTGTGGTCCAAGATTACAACCAAGAGGAGGGTATAGATTATGATGAAACTTTTGCTCCAATTGTAAGACTAGAGGCAATAAGACTCCTCATAGACTTTGCTGCACACATGAAATTCACTCTCCATCAGATGGATGTCAAAAGTACCTTCCTGAATGGCTACCTAAAAGAAGAAGTGTTTGTGAAACAACTTCTAGGGTTTGAGAGCAAGGAATGTCCTGAGCATGTGTACAAATTAGACAAGGCTCTCTATGGACTCAAGCAGGCTCCTCGAGCATGGTATGAACGACTATCCAAATTTCTGCTTGAACATGGCTACAAAAGAGGTAAAATTGACAGTACCATATTCTTAGGGGAAAAAGGTAAGGATCTCCTTGTGGTACAAATATATGTTGATGACATAATCTTTGGGGCCATCAC